AAAGCACGACCAATCAAGTGGGCCGGCCCGGCTAAAGTAACTGGATGGCCTGCCTGCCTGTCAGCCTTCCATCTGTGCACAAACTTATCTCGTGCCCTCATTGGTCATGTGCGCGTTCGTGTGTTGGAGGAGGGGCTCTGTAAGGAAGGGGCAGATTTCTTCCGGCTGTGTATTTTCACATTCTAGCGCACTCGAGCTGGTTTCTCCAAAATTACCTAGATTCTCTCTCTTTTTGATCCATTTCTATAAAAACCTGTCTGAAAATGAGCTGATCAGATTTTGGCAACTTTATGATGTCATAACGATGTTTTGTCTTGTGTAACCATTAGCCAATCAGCAACCAAGGTAACCCCTCCCCCCCCCTTATCACCTGAATCTCCTCCTAGAGCACCATTGAGTTCTTTTTAACCAAATGTCTCTCAGAGGGGCGTGGGGAGGGGCTCCTTATTTTCATCTAAAGTAACAGACAGAGAATCAGCACTTTGGAAACAGAGCTGAAACAGAGGGGATTATGGGTAATGCTGCAATGATCTGTTTGGTGTTTCAGCCAATCAGAGACAGGCTCTGTATATATCTGAGACCTGTGATATATTGATGAAACACAGAATAATAGGGGACCTTTTAAGGTATGTTTTCTTTAGTAACTCTTGTTGTTGTCTCTGCAGTGAGGGAGACAGCGGCACAGACAGCGTCATGGCGTATTATCAGTCGGAGTTCGATGTTCACGTCAGCCAGCAGAAGGCGCTGGACGAGGCCATCGAGTCTCAGCAGGCGACGGCCTCACGTCAATCAGGACGACACGGACGAATCCTGCTGAAACCTGCCGACGCTCTGAACGTCCACAACGTCGTGTCCCGAGGTCTGAATCCATCCCAATGCTTATATCGAATATATTATAATTCAAAGTCGACTTTATTATTTATTTATCTAACAGGGACAGTGCACATTAATTAAAATCCAAGAGTATATAACATATACATATAAATAACTAATATTAATGTTTGATCTTTCTGTCCACAGCTATAGACCCACGCTTGAACAGGGACTCTTTATTAGGTGAGTTTGGTGGTGTTTATTTTTATTTCTCATATGAATATCTTTAAAATTCAAGGTTTCGACACTCTCCGTTATTTTGACACCTAAAACCAAATACTGATTGGTTCTTTTTAGTTTTTTTTATTAGTTGCCTTATTGATTGTCAATGAAATTTATAGTGAAATGTTTACAAAATATGTGTCAAATTTTTCGTTTTCTTTTGTACTTCTAGTAATTTAATTAATTTTTTTAAGAAATTGCGTTGTGCTTTTGGTTGTACATGTTGTGTATTAATCAATCAAAATTTGATCACAAAAAAATAAATGTTGATTGTAGTAACATAACATTTCCCCTGTTTATTTTCCAGTGAAAAAGACGTTTAATGTCCACGTCAAAAAGCCCGGTGTGGTTCAGTCTCCGGGGTTTCCGGACTCTTCCTACCCTCCGAACGTGTTCCTGCAGTGGAGGCTCCGGGCCGACCCAAAGCACCGCGTCCAGCTGGACTTCCACACCCTGATCCTGGAGGACGACTGCCAGCAGGACTTCATCCAGATCTACGACTCCCTCGCCCCCATCGAGCCCCGGGTCCTCACTGAGTGAGAACCGCATACTTTGACAACTTCTCCAAGAAATCGTAAAACTATTTGTTGATAACAAAATAAAGTGGGGAAATATATGTCTCACAGAGGACATATTCTGCTGATGTTCAGGTGTATATCAGTATGTAGTGTCTCTACTTTAAAGAGTCCTCTCCTGCTGATGTTCAGGTGTATATCAGTATGTAGTGTCTCTACTTTAAAGAGTCCTCTCCTGCTGATGTTCAGGTGTATATCAGTATGTAGTGTCTCTACTTTAAAGAGTCCTCTCCTGCTGATGTTCAGGTGTATATCAGTATGTAGTGTCTCTACTTTAAAGAGTCCTCTCCTGCTGATGTTCAGGTGTATATCAGTATGTAGTGTCTCTACTTTAAAGAGTCCTCTCCTGCTGATGTTCAGGTGTATATCAGTATGTAGTGTCTCTACTTTAAAGAGTCCTCTCCTGCTGATGT